ATAACAAATTAAATTTCAATTCGAAACATGACTGTCATATTTGATATTATTTTTTGTTAAAACTGCCCATACAATGTGAAAGGAACTTTTTATCGCTCAGTGATTTTGTCAATTTTAATGAGATTTAAAATAGTGTCTAAATATTCACTATACCATATTATTGTTCTTTCCTCAGTTCACTCATATAAAACATTAAACAAAAAAAAGAATGTATATACCACATTGTACCATTTATATCCATAGTAAATTACAAATAATTTGTCAACTGTAGAAGAAAATAACAGTAAATGAAATGTTTATCCTGAATGGTTAAGGAAAAAAAAATAGTTGTGCATATCAACTTCGGATCCATAGGTGAACATATAAAACCTTTTATGAAAAATATACATTCTTTTGTTCATGTAAAACAAAATATACCTTCATTTGCATTTTCACGAAAAGGACTTTGATAAATACTGCTTAAATATTGCATCAGCATAATGTTTTTCCCTTGCTTCTTTCTTTTCGTGTCTACATTCTACACCTATATTTATAAAGTATAATGCTGGACTTGTCATAAACTTAATTGTTCTTTAAAAACGAAGAAACTCAATTTTTCATTTAAGCATCTGTACATTTCATTGTAGCATTTCATGCATATGCAAAACGTACTTTACAAAAAAATTCTAAAACGTGTTTAAATTTGGTAATGTACAGCATATGATCTATTATCGAATGTGAAAAAATGAACATTTCTTGTAGGAATGAAGCTCAGGCCTTAGGTTTCGATGACTTTTTGTTTTCTAATGTGCACCAAATAAATTTCATTTTATTTTATATATTGAGCAAAGGAACTAATAAAACACTTACCCTTTTAAAATAGGAAAATACAATCTCATTCAGAAAAAATAAAAAATTCTATTTATCATATTTTATAAAAAAAATGCTACATAATTCATGTTTATAACTTTAAATTCTATAAATAATAAAACCTACAGTTAATCGCATATATATTAGATAATTCCACGGATTCTCATAGAACATTCCTTCTAATCGTTTTAAAAATAAAAGAACTTTTAATTGAGTAAAATTTAAATTGCATATTTCCTGCTTCGCTGTCTTTTTGCTGTTTGCTTATAATGCCAATAAACAATTTTTTCTATGTAAAACCTTACACAAATTGCTCAAAGACATTTACAAGAAATTCCCTTTTATATATGTACATTCATTTTTTTCCCATGCCACAGACATAGGATTTTAATATTTTATAAATACACATATATGTAACGCAGTTCCCTTTTTTTTAACTTTCGCATTAAACATACATCTCCTTTTTACGTTGTGAAAAGCTTAATCACAATTTTTTCCTTTTGGGCTTTTAGTTGAAAGACGTGTTTTTTTTTAATGTTAGGACTATTTATTTTCAAAGCACCTGTTCCACTCTCATTGAATGATGCATTAACAAAAAGAAATAGTAAGCGGATAAATGCTTATGCTAATTGCAGTAGTTTTGTAAATTTTTCAATAGACATTTTTGTGTACATGTGTAATAACCAGCCAAGGGGGTACTCAATAAAATGTCATAAACAAAATTAGGAATTGCTTTTCTTAATTCCTAAAATGTGTGCTTTTTTTCATCTTATTTGATTGAAAAAGCCATAAAAAACAACCCCAAATTAGGTTTTCTTCATGCGACATAAAAGAACGTTTTTATGAGTTCAACATATAATAAAGAAATAAGACATAAAGGAATGGTTTTGTGTGTTGAAAATGTTTTTTTCTTTTTTTCTACTTTAAACATTTACAAGGTTATTTTTTAAAATAAGAGTTTGGAACAAAGTATTTTTTCTATGTCTTTTGAATGAAATCATATAGTGAAATGATGGAATTTTACACAAAAAATGTAGAAAAGCGTTTTTCAGTTGTTTCCTAAAATGAAAAGCACTCCACTTTACCGCCATATGCTAAAAAAAAAGTTTAACTTGCTTGGGAAAAGTATATTTTGTAAAATAAATATAAGAAGTGAAAGGTTCTCTTGAATTTTTAATTTTCTCAATTACCTTCTAAAATATTTAATATGAGCATCATACTATTTCGAAATTTACTATTTTACGAGAGAATGTAACGTTCCACTAATTTCCTAGAAAATTTTTACGAAGTTTTTATTCATAAGCAACCATATGTCTTACTACACTAACGTTATCTATAAATATTTAAGAATAAATTATTTTGACTCTAAAAGCAACAACATCATCGAAAATGTGCAGTTTTAGAAGAGAAATATTCACACATACTAATTGTAAAAAAAATAAAAAAAAAAATTTAAATCGAGAAACATGAGTATTAGTGAGAACAATGAAAATGACCATAATTTTGAACAATCACCTTTTTGACGTGAATCAACAAAATTATAAATGCCATTTTCGTATTTAATATAGGTTACACCTGTATAGCTATAGACATTATTATTATATAAACAAAAAGAGTGTGTGATATTTCAAAAACATGAACTAGCTTTAAAATGTTATGTATATGAACAGTTCATAAAAAAAAAAATTATTTACTGGAAAAAGCATAATACTATTACTGCTAGCCATTTGTGTGTGTGTGCATTTGGTATTAAAAAAGCCGAAAAATATGTAAATAATTATTATTATTTTTTTTTTTTTTCTTTCGCTAATTTTGTAAAATTTATATTTCTATATTTATAGCTCGTTTATGTTATACATCATTGTATTCTACATTGTGTATTGATTTATTATACAAAATAAGCAAATTACTGTGCATTTTTTAAGAGCATTAGAATTAACGTCTTTAAAAAAATATGTATGAACGTTCATAATTTTGTCTTCAATAATTAAGGCTAAAAAAAAATGAAAAAAAAATGAAATAAAAAAAAAAATGAGCTGAAAATAAAGAACAGACATCTTCATTATTATTTTCCCCTGTGTTTTTACTGATTTTTCATTTTATTTTATTGTGTTTATACATGTATATAAGGCTTTATGAAACAATTTCAATAAAAGATGAGGTATACATATTCCTCCTTATTTGTGTGTACAAAATTGCTCAGTAAACGCACCATTAATATTACTTAATGAAAAATATATATATGGTGTTTCTTTGTATTCTTTAACTGAACAAATACAACCTTGTGTGCAATTTTTTTTTTCATAGAAAAATTGCAAATAATTTGTATAGACATAATGAAACATATAATGGGAATTAAAAAGTGCTCAGTTATTAATATTTTGTTCTTGTTACTTCTAGTTTCTCAAGAATATTCAAGTTATCAAAATGCACTAACTAATGGCGAAAGCAACTATGGATTAAACAATGATGAATTCAGAGCAATGCTATTTGGGCTTAATTATGACTCAGTAGGCAAAAATAGAAATAATTTAGAAAAAAGGAAAAATGTAGAAAATGAATCATTATTCTTTCGTAATTTTACCAATGAAGAGACCCCGACAAATGTGAAGAATGAAAAAGCACAAACAGAGGTTCAAAGTATGAATAATAGCAAAAGAAAGGCTCACAGTTCACAAAATAATGATGTAGGCAATAATAATTCATCTAATCAAAGTGAAAATAAAAGCGAACACGTTGAGTTAAAGAGTGGTGGATTGCTACAGAAAAGTTTCGAAAAGGATAAAATAAATAAAAGGTATATCCCAAATAATAATAGCATTGATAAAAATCAACCTAATTCTGTTTTTAAGGATACTGGTGATTTAGGTAACACAAATGTAATAATACACAATAATGACTCAGCTAACAAAAACTTAAGTAACAATGGAGAACATTACACAACTTATGAAAATGACTACTCATCTGACAAGAAGTACAACAACAACAGCAATAGCAAAAAGGGAGATGACACAAGCGCTACTCCTAATGATTATTTAACAAATAACATTGAAAAAACAAATCTAGAACTTGATGGATCGAAAAAAATGAATAACTACGTGCAAAAAGCAGGTGATATGAAAATAGAAAAATATGAGCCTCTACAAAAAGATTTAAATGTTAAAGGTCATATTGAAGAACTCCTTGATGAGAAAAAGTTAAAAAGTGGACAAATAAGCACTGAAAAAAAAAGTAAAATATCAAAAGACATCGTTCACGAAGGTGCCATATCTAATGAGCTCACAAAAATTGCCAGTAGCAGATTAAGTGAAAAACCTAATACATTAATTGAAAAGGAGAATGATCTGAAAAAGGCCAATTTACCAGAGCTTCAGGATGTAAAAAAGGACTTATTGAAAAATGACGAAAAAAATGAAGATGGTATAAAAATGACTTATCTCGAAAATTCCAACAATAATAAGCAGCATGTGCAAAATTCAGTAAATAATGAAAACGTAAAAAGTGCAAACACTATGATCGTAGGCGATTCTAATGAGCACAATATGATTTACTCAGAAGAAGATATCAATGCACATATTAAGAATTCTCAAAAAGACATGCTAAAGAGTATAAAACCAGTGCAATTCGATGAAAGCACATATAATAAATTAAATGATGATTCTTCTAAAAGTGACGAAAATAAAATTTTAAACAAAATAAACAAAAGCAATGAAAATATATTTTTTGATAGAATAAGCTTAAAAAAAGGAGCAAAAGACATAAACGAATACAAATACTTTAAATTGAAAAGTAATGATTTTAAAGTATTAGGAATAATAAATAAATATTCTTCAAGGGGGGGATTCTCAATATCGGTTGACTGTGGTGGGTATGACGATTTCGATGAAATTCCAGGAATTTCTAACCTATTACAGCATGCTATTTTTTACAAATCTGAAAAAAGAAACACAACACTACTAAGCGAACTGGGAAAGTATTCATCAGAACATAATGGTCATAGTACTGAATCTTTCACTAATTATTATGCAATTTCCCATTCTGAAGATATTTATCATTTGCTTAATTTATTTGCAGAAAATTTATTTTACCCTGTATTTAATGAAGAGAATATAGAGAATGAAGTCAAAGAAATTAGTAATAAATACATATCTATGGAAAATAATCTTGAGTCATGCCTGAAAATTGCTAGTCAGTATATCACAGATTTTAAATATTCTAAATTTTTTATCAATGGGAATTACACCACTTTGTGTGAAAACGTTTTAAAACATAGACTAAGTATAAAAAGAATTCTGGCTGAATTCCATAAAAAATGTTATCAGCCTAAAAATATGTCACTAACTATACTTCTAGGGAACAAGGGAAATCCTGCTGATCACTACAACATGAATGATATTGAAAACATGATTGTACACATTTTTGGAAAGATAAAAAATGACAACCACATTATTGATGGGGATGTTATAGAGACACCAATTAATCATATGAAATTAGAATGGAAAAGCTTTAATGGGCGAAAAGAAAATTATAATAACACAAATTTCACCCACGAGGAGCAAAATGGCTTAAGTAATGATGCGAGAAGTGAAAAAGAACATGGGCTTATTCAGTCTTTGAATGAGATCCACTATGTGCTTGATTTAGACCAGAAGAACAAGTATATTGAAATTTTAAAAAAAGAAGAATGGGCAAATCATGTTTACCTATATTGGAGTTCTAAAACTAACATTGACTTGTGTAAAAAAATTGAAGAATTTGGGTCAATGACATTTTTACACGAAATTTTTTCTGACTTCAGAAAGAGTGGATTTTATTACAAAATATCTGTGGAAAATAAATATATCTACGATTTAAAGGTTACAAGTACGTGCAATAAATACTATTTGAACTTTGGAATACTGGTGAAATTAACCCAAAAGGGGAAAAGTAACATAGCTCATTTGATACACATATGCAATGTTTTTGTTAACGAAATAAGTAAATTATTTGATCGTGATAGCTTAGATAAAGGAATAAATAAATACCTCCTTGATTATTACAGGGAAAAGGCATTGCTCACTGATCTGAATTTCAACAGTGACAGTGTAGGTGTGAGCCTTAATGACTTAATAATTTACTCGAACAAACTGCTGATTTACGCAGATGATCCATCTTCACTTTTAACTATTCATAATTTAATTGAAGACAAGAATAAAAATGACTTTCGAAATCATATTAAAATTACAAGCTTAGTAGGTTCTCTAATTAAAAATGAGAATTTAAACATCATAAACGTTGTAGATACATTCAACCTAACAAATCATAGTCAAATTCCCAACACTACCATAAAGTATGCTATAGGGGAAAGTCCATATCTTATTGGTCAAGGGGGAATTACAAATGATATAAATATTACATTTCCAGAAATAAATACTTGTGCTCTCAATAGTTTTGAAAATAATAGTGCTTCGTATGAAAAATCATTTTACTGTGTTCCATATAACAGCAGTGAAAATTTTGAATTTCCAGAAACTGAACCAATGTTTATTTCTGAGGAAAATAAGAATGAATTTAAAGAAAACATTATATGTACAATGCCTTGCTTGATTAAATCCTCGTATGGATATAATATTTATTTTAAAAGAGGTCTAACAGATGCTTCAAAAGTAAAATCGGATTTCATTTTTTATTTTCCTTCTGAAAGGTTGACTTTTTATGAAGCTATTTTTTCTCGTATACACATTATAATTTTGACTAAAAAGATAAAAGTTTTCCTTGCTGATTATGTTAACTGTTCCGTAAATGTGAATATTAAGCGGAATGCAGAGTCTTATATTATACACATGGACACTGGCAGCTATTATTTCGAAGATTTCTTTAACAAAATAGGGGATCTGTTGTCAGTGAAAGAGACTCCTTCTAAAGAAGAATTTGATGATGCTTATGATGAATTAAATATGTATGTAAAATCAAGCAGAAAACTGGAAGTAGGAAATTCATTAAATATTATGTATTCCTTATTTAACGAATATGAACCAACGGACAAAGAAATGGATGACATTTTAAATGCATACTTCTTTTACCCATCATATAATGACTATACCAAATATGTTAATGGTTTTTTTCATAGAAATTATATTAACATATTTATATATGGAAATGTTATAATTCCAACGGGAAAAGAGGGTGAAAATGCAGCTAGCTATATTAACCATAATATTAACAATGGAGGTAGCGGCGTTATAAATAACCCTAGCAACAATACTATTAGCAATGCAGATAGTATCGACAAGTACAAATATAATATGGTGTTTTATGAAAAGACAAATAATAAGGGTAATAATGCTTTATATTTGAAGAAAAGGGATAACAACCCGGAACTGCAGAAAAATTTTGAAAAACAGGCATTTATAGACGATTCTCTCCAAATATCTCACAACGGATTAGGGATAGAATATTTAGTTAATTTGTCTGAGGCATTCATAAAGAAAGTAACAAATGATGTTTTAAAGAAAAGCGAGTCTACATACTACACGAGGAAGCTAGTTAATAATGAAAATGTTGAAGTAGATATCCCCATTGTGTCTCAAAATGTCAATAGTTCGATAATAGTATCATATATAATCGAATCAGAAAGTGTATTAAGTGATACTTTAATTGATATCATCGTTAATTTAATATCACCCGATTTTGCTAAATTTTCTAAAACAAAGTATAATGATGGTTATGTTGTTGAGGTAAAAAGATTTTCCACACGTTATGGATTAGGTGGATTACTTTTTGTTATTCAGAGTTTTGACAATGACGTTGAAAAACTTGAGGCACATATATGTACCTTTGTAAAATATGTGACGTTTGAACTAATGAACATTGAAATTTCTGATCTGGTCAAAAAATTAGAATCTATGAAGGAGTATTACATGGTAAATAATGGTATATTTACATTCGACCAAGAATATTATTCTATACTGGATCAGCTAACTTCTGGAATGGAATGCTTTGACAAAAAATATAAAATTATAAAAATATTTGATGAATTAATTAATTGTCCTAAAATCATTTTGAATAAAGTAAATGTAATTTTAAAAAATTCCAAAAAAGCAATCTTTAAAGGATATAAAACGGTTAATCCATCTTACAATAAAAAAGAGGAAATTCACAATGCAAACTCATACTCATGCAACTATTCTCACAAGGCACGTGAAAAATTGTCGAATGTGCAGCTAACAGAGAGTTCTCGCTTAGTTAAGAAAAAACGATCCAGAGGAGAAAAAAACTTACGCAATGACAAATTTAGAATGAATAAATTACATAAAAAAGACAATTTTATTACTGTATCAAATTTTGTGGAGATGAAAAAAAAAGGTTTTTTTCAATACGTTATCGATTATTTTAAAAATAGCAACAACATGTATTTGGACGATAGCAATTACTTTGACTTTAAAAGCTGCGAGGAGGAAATGTCTAAAAGTAACTTCCACGTATTTTACAATTTTACCAATGACATAGGTAAAATAAGGGCATACTTTCTCCAAAAGTTTGCCAATGATAAAGAAATTAGGGAAAAGTGTTCTGTAGATTATGAAGAAATTAGACAGTATTGCAGCATGAACTAATTTATAACCTCCACGCGGGAAATATAAAAAAATTAATGCGCCTGCATTTGTTGCGATGTTTAAGCTAGCGGGGGGGGGGAAATAGGATAATGAAAATGTGGTATTATCTATGAAAATGTGGTATTATCTATGAAAATGTGGTATTATCTATGAAAATGTGGTATTATCTATGAAAATGTGGTATTATCTATGAAAATGTGGTACTATTTATGAAAATGTGGTACTATTTATGAAAATATGATCCTAAGAAAGTAAGATAATACGGAAACATGTTAATATGAAAATAAGATACTATGATAGTGGTAACATACAGCTAAACACAATAGATATCAAATAATAAAGTATGCTTTAGAAAATTTTCTGTTTTTTGTTTTTCCACAAGACACAAAAGTCCTAATTTTTAGGTACCTTTTCAAAAAATATGTATCCTTTCTACTTTTTTTTAAGATACTTTTGTGTGTTCTATTTTTAAGAAGCATATTATATGTACACGCATCAGCACTGATAAGACTATTTGTTAAATCCTTGAATATACACACTATGGATTAAGTAAACTGTGATAAACGTTTTTTTTTTTTTTTTTTTTTTCCTAAATTAAATTTATTTTTTCTTTCCCACGTTTTTATTAAGTGCTAAGTTGATAAGCTACCGATAGCTATATTTACTCTGCTTTGTTCTGTCTTGTACGATTCTGTTCGATTTCGTTTAAACTTTTAAAGTTGTTAGATTTTTTTTTTTATTATGGTGACACGATATTTATATATGAATACTTTTTCATGGATGTGCATGTATAAATATGGATTTGTTTACATTGTGTTTTATTTTCAAATTGCATAAAATTTTTTGTGCGACTTCGTTTTTTTTTCCGTAGGATTTTTGCGTTTTACTTTTTCTTCACCTAGAGACTATTTCGTCGATTTCATTTAAATTGTTAATTATTATTTTTATTTTAATAAAAAAAAAAAAAAAAAAAAATTAAATCCAAATGATGTTGGTAAGTTTACCCATATACATGTCCATACGCGTAATGAATATGCATGACATCATGTGTAATAGAAAAATAAAGATGTGTCAAAAACGTAAACAAATGCACTATATCTTATTTTCAAGCAGCAATTTCGCATATTTATCGAAATCATAATCAATTTTAATCACTTCTTTTGTTATATTGTTTATATGATAAATTTCATCTGCTACATGTTTTATCAAATATGTGTCATGACTAATAATAATGATCCCTCCTTTGTACAAATTTAAGGCAACAATTAAAGCTTGTACGGATTCGATATCAAGGTGATTTGAAGGTTCGTCTAAAATTAATATATTTGGATTTTTATAAGCCAAAATAGCTAATGCCAATTTACTCTTCTGACCTCCTGATAAAACATAAATTGGTTCATATAAAATATTGGTTGGGATATTAAATTTATTAAAATATTTAATAGCTTCTTCTTCTTTTATATTTTTGTTAGAATAATTGTATTGTAATTGTTGAATGGAATTAAAAATAGGATTTAAGCTATCCACATGATATTGGGAATAGTAACCTATATTTGCCTTGTTGCTGACATGTAGTTCTCCTTCAAAAGTGTCTATTAGATTTAAAATAATTTTAATTAATGTCGTTTTCCCACTACCATTTACACCACATATAGCAATTCTAGAATCCATGTCTACTTCAAAAGTTGCATTTTTAAATAAGAATTCATGTTTAAATTGATAATCATCATTATTTCTTGAAGTTTCATCTTCTCTTTTGGTACTGTTATATGATTTTCCATTTATTTTCCCACCTGTTTCTTCATCTCCGTCTGCTATTATAATATTTGAATTTTTTTTTATTTGTAAATTTTTAAACATTTCATTTTTAAAGGAAACATTTTTTAGCCGTATTAGTACGTTGGATGTATAAAATGGTTCTAAAAAAGAGAAACTGAATGGAGTTTCTTCTTTTTCTAAATTTACCACAGGTAATTTATTTAAAAGTTTGATTCTACTTTGAACTAATGCTGCTCTTTTTGAATTATACCTAAATCTGTCTATAAATTTCTGAACGTGCTTTTTCTTCATTTCAATGGAATCATGTTCTCTCTGTTGTTGTAGCAATTGTTCTACTCTAGTTTTTTCAAATTGATCATAATTTCCTGAGTAATATGTTAACTGTTTTTGATGAAAATAAATAATATCTGTGCAAACTTCATTCAAAAAATCTCTATCATGTGAAACAATAATGCACGTTTTATTTAATTTTTTTATGTAATCTATCAAGAATTGTATGGTATATATATCCAAATGGTTCGTAGGTTCATCTAACAATATTATGTCATTGTTACTGAAAAGAATACGACTAAGACATAGTCTCATTCTCATACCTCCACTAAGGGAGTTCACTTTTTTTTTTTGTAAATTTGAATCAAAACCTAATCCACACAAAATTTTGCTAGCTTCTTTTTCTGCTTCTAAGTAGCTAATACTATTTAATTTTTCATAAATTGCTAATATTTTTTCGTCTATGTTTTTTTCTTCTTCGGTGTTATCCCCTTTTTCATCATCCGATTTTTTAATATCATTTCTTTTTACATTTTCCCCGTCATTCTTAATTTCGCTATTTGTGAATTCCTCACCACGGGTATATTTACTTTTTTTTAATTCTAGTTGTTCCAATTCTGCCAACAAATCATGTCTTAATTTATCAACCATTAGAACACACTCTAATACAGTCACATCTTCAAGAAATAAATCTTGTTCAATACAAGCTATGGATATATCTTTTTTAATTTCTTCAATTTCATATCTAGCTAACTTAGCCAATAGGGTACTTTTCCCAATTCCGTTCTTTCCTATAAGCCCATATTTATTCATAACATTTATTTTTAGAGTTGTATCTGATAGTAAACTCCTTTGTCCAATACTTAATGTAAAATTATCAATTCTTATATCATACATTTTTTCAATTTTTGTTTTATTTTTATTGGAATCAGAATAGTGTAATAAATTGTGTACCCTTACAGGGGATGGTATTTTAATTTTATTTTTAACCCATTCTTTAAATAAGTTCAGTTGTTTTTGTCTTTGTTTTTCTTTCTCTTTGCTTATTCTTATACTTTCACTTATAGGAATGCTTGTATTGTAATTAATTTGTTTTTCTTGTATACCTAAAAAGGGGTCATAATACCCTACAACATCCCTTTTTTTCCAGTATTCCTTTAAGTTAAGTGTTTTTGTTAGTTTTTCATTGTTAACATTTTTATTTTCTTCATTTCTTATTCCATTTTCTTTTTTTATATGTTTATTAAAAATCTCCGCAATAACATTTTTTTTTATTTTTTCATCGGAAAAAGTAGAAACCAAATCGTACAGATAATCTATTCCTTTTTTCAAAATTAAATCTTTCTCATCATTTATTCTTTCTCTTAAATAGGCCTCTGTTTCTTCGTCTGGTTCAATTAGTCCAAGCACCTTATCTATTAGTTCTTTCATACTTTATTATTATTTTATTTATTTATTTTTTTTTATATTCTCTCTCTTTTTCGATACTTATTCACATTCCAAAAATAATAGTCCTTTTTTACTCCAACTTTCTTTCCCTTTTATTTTGCTTCTTTATTAATATATATTTTTTCTCTTTATCTCATAATTGTGGTTTGTAGTAAAGGAGTGTGTTTTATATGGAGTGGTGCTTGAACTTTGCTTTTCAAAGGCCTTTTGAATATTCACCTGTTGGATATACTTAATTATGCATTTTTAATTTAAATAGTGTTGCACTTGTGAGGTAATCGAGATGTGAGGAAACCCGATTTTGTATACACAATTGAACTAGTGTATCTTCGCATGTATTTTTTTCGTGCATACACTTATGGATACATTTTTGTGGCTATTAAAATGTACATGTATTTTCGTGCTGCTTACAATGGCAAGGGGAGAATTGGGAAGAAAAAAAAAAAAAAAAAAAAAAAAAAAAAAATACTACACTGTACTAATAACCAAGAATTAAATCACAAATGCAAAAATGTGTTTTACCATTTTAGTGAGAATAAACGTGCGAAGAGGAAAAAGAAGAAAAAAAAAAAAAAGTATATTACAACAGCTGATTTCTAAAGGTACTGTAAAAAATTAGTCAATAAACCCAAGGTGAGGTAGAATATTTTCACACCTTACTACACATGTATATGTTATGATGGGATTATGTCCAATCATTTTTAAAAAATTGCTATGTTTTTACTTTTTTATTTTTACTTTATTTTTAAATTTCTTACATTTTTGAAAAAGCTATTTTTCTATAAAATTTTTTCTTCAAATAAAGGTTTTCTTTTTTTGTGCATTATTTTCCCTATTTTTGGAAAAGCGTCATTTAAGCACAGTTATAGGTTCGACAAATGAGGGGAAAGTGGATGTGTGTATTAATAAGATTTAATGTATATATATATAAAAATGTATGTAAATCTTTGTAACTGTATCTATACACACGCTTCGTCTATACCTAAACATAAAAGATATTAAACCTTTTGAACATTAAATTTTCTTTAATTTTTATGCATTTCATTTTTATTTTTTTAAACCTACAAAAATTAAATCGATGTTTTTTTTTTTTTTTTTTTTTAAATTACTCAATTTTAAATTTTATGTACTTTTCCTTGAAAATTTAGTGATGTCATTTGTACTTTTTTCTTTTTTATTTCTTGCCACATTTTCAGAAAAGAGTTTAAAAAGATTCCATTTTTTTTTTTCTTATGATATTCGTTCTCTAATTTAAGAAGGTATATAGTGTGGTGTATATATATAACACACATAAAATGATCATTGTAACCAACTTGTTTCATTTTAAAGTGGTACAATTATATATTGAAAATGCTCTTTTTTTAGGCTTTTTTTTTTTTTTTTTTTTTTTATGGACACTTCTACAACATTCCCTTTCCTTTGCATTATGTAGGTCGGCAATATAATCAATGGTTTCCTCGCCCACTGAGAAGATGGCTCGTGTGCTCGGGATACTTACCCTATTTTCATGTAGAATTTTTGAAAATCCATTTTGGCACATTGGGCTGTGTTATTCATGTATGTATGTATATATATATATCTATACATGTATATTTATATTTGCATATTTTACCAACGAACAACAAAAGGCCTTAAATCCTTTGCTTTAAAGAAAGCAGCTTTTATATATATATATATATATATATATATATATATATATATATATATATGTATATGCATGCACCACTCAAAATCACCAATCGAAATGGTTAAAAATGTGAACGGCAAATTTTTACTTTAACAAAGAAGTGCGCTTAAATTTTTTTTATTTTGTGGGGCCTTTTTTTTTTTTTTTTTCTTATGTGCATATACGGTGGGAGGAAAAAGCTAATACTTGGCACTTTCAAATGGCTATGCGTGCTTACAACGCTTACAAATTTGCAATATATAATATATATAATATATATATTTACATTCGTATAATGCAAGTAATAAATATATATATATATATATACCATGGGAGGCATTTTTTCTTATCATATTGAGGAGTGTTTTTCTTTTTTCTTTTTTATTTTTTCTTCTTTGAAATGTGAAACACATTTTAATGAAAACAAACCATTATTTTTTTTTTGAGAAAATGAAAAAAAAAAAAAAAAAATATACACTTTCCTCCAAATGTCTCTTTACTAAAGTGGACTTCGGTGAAATGAAAGGATGAGTGTTTGAATTGGCTCACAAAGAACGTATAAAAATGTGGCTTTTGAGTCCGCAATTAATTCCTATATGCATGTACTACATTAACAAAACGTGCACATATATATATATATATATTATACATATGTACATATATGCACATATTAATATCACTACGGAATTTGCTTAGTTTTACATATTAAAGCAAATTCTGACTCAAGGATTTTTACGAAGCAGGTTTTCAATGATGTGTTTTATGCCAATGTTTTTGTACGTGGCACATAATTTATTGTGCACGAACGCATGGCAATGAGGCACTGTGCTGTGTGTTAATTTTAGTACAGGCTTATATATATACATATATATACATATATATACATATATATATAATATACATATATATATACACCATATGGACTTTCAAATTCCGTGACGAAAAGATTTTTAACATTTTTTTTTTTCTGAGAGGCATGGGTCAGTGGCAAATATAAAATTAAATAACTCAGCGAGCAATAACTAGAGCTCTCTCCGTGTAATTGCATGCATCTAAGAAAAGCGAGCAGATTTATTTGAATTTGCTTGAGGGTTAAACGTTTCTTATTTTCTCATATAATAAAATAAAAAACGCATCAATTTTTTCATTGTACAGCATAGGATAGGGGTGGTATTTTATTTTATTTTTTTTTTTATCACGTAGTGGGCTATTTAACAATTTAAAAAAAATATATTATGGAAAAAAAACCAAAAGAAAAAAAAAAAAAAAAAAAACAATTTCTTTTTTTTTTTTCTTTGTAATAAAATTACGCAAACAGTATTGCTTTACGATAAAATTGCTAAACGGGTGTATAGAATTTAATTTTTTTTTTTTTTTTTTTGCTTTAAATTTATTTTATATAAAAAAAGAAAAAAATGTTTTGTATATGTTAATTACTGTGTACATAAATAATAACAGTTTTTTTTAAAAAAAAAAAAAAAGTTTAATAACAGGAAACAACTTTCACATTAAAAAAAATAATATTTTTTACTGGATTAATTTTTTTTTATTTAAAAAAAAATTTATGCAAAACTTTAATATCTTATGAGTGTACATTCCAAGTACGTATAAACCACTTGCAAAGTTTGAATGCTTTTGAAAAGAGGGCGAAACTTACACTAAGCTTTTTTTTTTTTTATATGTGTTACAAATGTGTTTATGTTTAATTGTGCAAGAAAACGTACTGAATATATATATAACATTTTAACACATTACTTTATGAGCACGAGTGTAATAAAACTGATTGCTGCACATATAATACCACAAAACACATAAAAGAAAGGAGAAGAGAACGTGAGAATTTTCAGAAAATTCATTTACATTTACCCCAACACACGTAATATATATATATATATATATATATATATTTTAATTTTATTTATTTTAGTCAACAGTAAAGGAAATTTTTTAGACGTCAAAGCATTGATTCCAAGATATATTTATAAACATTGGAAGAAAGCATTGTATATATACATATATACGGACAATATTTATAGGTACAAAATTTTCGGTTGTTACAATTACCATTTTATTTAAAATGAAACCCATAACGGCAGTATTTCTTCTTTTTTGCCTAATCCTTTGTGACAATGCATATGGGGATAATATTAATGGAGGAGGAAATACAAACATACCCAAAAAGAAGACTCCCAAGAGTAATCATTTTATAGCAGTATAGTTATTTTTTTTTGTGTTCCATGCTAGTGTGTATGTATTTTATTGTTCGTTTTGTAGTATCCGATTTCCATTTGCATTTTTTGTAAAAATTTTTCATATTTGATCATTTGGATCGTTTGAAAATTTTTTATAATTAACATTAATTATTAGTAACCACATTTCTCATTATTTTTTATCCCCATTCCAGAAGCTCCAGAACCACTCATTGACGTACATGAACTGATAAGTGAAATGGTTAGAAAAGAAGAGGAACTGGTAACTGTAACGAAGCAAAAATCGAAATACAAGATGGTAGCAACAGTTCTTGCATCATTATTAGGTATCGTGTCAGGAGTGCTCGCAGGAGGTGCCGGTTTAGTGTTACATAATACTAGTAAAGGAAGACCACCATTTTCTTTTGGAGGTGGAGATTCTAATACTTCAGCTAGTCCTACTGAAAGTCCAGAACCAGAAAAAGAGAAATAAAACAGAAAGGAAGATATTACAAACACAGACATCATACACATAGAAGAAATGTGTTTATTTTAGAACTCCTTTTTTTTTTTATATTTTTTTAAATATTTTTTCCCATATTACAGTTATGATGTTATTCGTTATTGGGCCCTGTCTTTACCCTCATCGACCCGTCCGCAACATTTTTTTTTTTTTTTTTTTTTTTTTTTTTGGCCTGTCCGTATGAACTACTACAATTATTATTTTTTTCTTTTTCGGGGCCAATCCACACTCCTCCCCCTTTTCATCTATTTTCGACACTTTTATACCCCATCTTAGACGAGAAATGATGATGGAAAGTAGCAGTGGCAGCGAATAAGCAGCATATATAAAAAAAAAACAACTTTTCAGTTAATCTTTATATTTTTTTTAACAAGAGGATATTATTTAGCAAATTTTATAACTACGTCAGTTAAAGGTGTATGTATGTTTATATATATGTGTGTGATTTTAGCTGTTATGTTTACAGTTACCAAATTATAATGCACCTTTTTTTTTTTTTTTTAAACAGAACAGCGATATGATGCTAAGAAAAATAAATAAAAAATATACATACATGTGCGGGCAACATTTTACTGTTCTACTGGAATATTTTGCTCGTAGAGTTTATGTGTTCAAGTTTCTTTTAAATGAAAAGTTTTACTATTTATGTATTTTTTCCATTTTTCGCATTTTTCTAGCTTTTCACATTTTTTTATGCTTTTTGAGTTTAAGTTTTTCTTTTTTAATATTTTTCCCCACCTTTTTATTCCCAATTTTTTTCACGTACATCACCCCATATGTATACATATAAACTGTATATATATATATATATATATATATATATTTTTTAACATATTAATATGGGTTAAGGCGAAAGGTGTAACGAGTGTATATATTTTTTTTTCTTTGACCTTACCCCCCTACTTTTTCCACTCATATATCACCAACTAACTTTTTATTAAGATATATGCTGATGTACTTAATTACTATATAACAAAAGTTGGACTGTCATTTTGGTCAATTTGAAGGGTTACTAGAGGAATGATGTACATGGATTTTTATGTTTTTCAAACTGTCTAAGTAGACGAAAACGAACAAAAGGAAAGGAGAAGCGGAAAGACGAGTCTTATTTTGGATTCCCCCAGAAATGTACTTTTTGCCGCACTTAAGCATCGGGAGAATATGTGCAAAAATGTATACGCAAATATATACATGTAAACATGTTTAAATGTTTACATGTAGACATGCACATATTATGCAAATAACTTCAGGATCCATGAACTCCCCCCCTCCCATCTTGTATGCAATGGGCCAAATGTGAATTTTATGTATGTGCCATAATGATAGACTTTGAAGGAACATAAATAATGTAAAAATTGTGATTTAAAATTTAACATAAAATTCTCTCAAGTGGGTATGGGAGGATAAATGGGAATACAGATCGGCGCAGATAAATTGCACGAGGTTTTTATATATCCCATTTAGGGTATGTGGAGATAAACGCATTGTTCTATTTTACCACGTAGCTGATGTGGTATTTTATTATATTTTATTTTATTATATTATATTTTATTTTATTATATTATATTTTATTTTATTATATTTTATTATATTATATTTTATTATATTATATTATATTATATTTTATTATATTATATTATATTATATTTTATTATATTATATTATATTTTATTATATTATATTTTATTATATTTTATTTTTATTTTTCCCGCTCCCCCCCAAAAAAAAAAGAAAAAGAAAAAAAGAACATTTCCACACCCTCTTTCCGATTTCCCTTCCTCGTATTTCAGTTCACATAAATATATATATATAATTTTTCGCCTAAAAATATATTTGCCTTTTTTTAGTGAAGGGGGAAAAAATTAAACAACATGTCGTAGGGGGGTGATGGTAATGCCTTGTGGATATCCACATTGCATAAACATAATTATGCCAATTTGTAGAATGTGTTATGAGACCTCTGGAGCTAACTAAATATGGTAAACAATTCAGTACTATTTAAATCCTTCGTAGTTGGATCTCCTCTTGGGATATTACTATTTAATGAAATTAGAAGGATTAAAAATTTAAGAGACGAGGAGAAGTTAAGTAAAAGTTTGTTTATAAAAAATTTTCAAAAAGGTAACATTACAAAGGAAGAAGAAAATGGAAATTCTTACAAAACTAATAAACACATTTTTGAAGGATTAAATTCCACACACAATGATGAAGAAGTGTTGAATTACTTTTATGGGAAAGCATGGGGATATACGACTGATTATGAAATTGACCAGAGTTTAAATACAGGGGACTTGGTTTTTATAAAACACGATTTAGAGAGTGTAAATTTTTTTAGAAAAGTTCTACTTAAATTGAATAGGTATATACAATATGGCAGTGGCAATGGAAATGGTAATGGAAATAGTAGCAAAGTGGAAGACTATGATGAAGTAGGGATTATTTTAAAAAAGCATAACATCAGTTATATATATATGCAAAATATTCTTAATGGGAAAGAGAAATTAATTCGATATTCTCATTTTTTACAAAAATATAAACCTTCTGTTTTATCTCTTAGAAGATTTATAACGGATGATGAACATATAAAAAAGGAGCTACATAAAAATATAGTACAAAGCATACAAAAGGATCAAATAAATAAATATCATCACTCTATTTTCTTTAATTTATTATACAATTTTTATAAACAAAAAATACGTCATATACATAGAAACGTGGCATCTTCCCCCTCCTTACAACAAAAAAAGGATTGTCTTTGTAGTGACAATAATACAATGTGCAAACAAATAAGTTCCTATATAGACATGAATAACTTAATGAATATATTAAAATTTAGATCTTTTAATTTATTCTTTTATTTTGTTGCATACTTAAATGAACATGCTTTTAAAAATAACAGTTCTGCACGTGAACATGAACATGTAATTTTACAAGGTATCTCCGCGGATATTCAAAAGGAGGGGTTAAAATATGACATTCCAAAAATTCAGAATAAAAATGGGTTACAGTTTTATGAGTTCCCACTAAATAATTCTCTAACAAGGTTTGAATTTATTAAGAGTGATTGTGAAGAGTTGAAGTTGGACGATAGAAGAGTCTACAGTGATGATAGCACCTTTGGTAGCAAACGTGGAAGTATCAAAAGAAACATCATTGAAAGCACCCGTGGCGATAATTTTGAATCTTCTCATCCCCCACACGAAACCATAAAAGAAATCGAAAAATTCCTCACGGTACTTTTAGAAAATGAATATACGCTAATTGATTTTACGGAATATTTAAACAAAGTATTACAAAAAGGACACAAACTAAGCAAAAGTCAGGAGGAAGAAAGTAATCAAAAAGTGGATAATTATGACGATGCTGGTAATAACAGAACTCATTCGAATTATTTCGTAAATAAAATAAATTTCTATAGTGAAAAAATTTACACAATGTTTAAAAAGTTCATCATGCCAAATTCTCTTTCTCATTCGCATTCTCATGTTTACGAAATATACAGAAATACGAGTTTGTTGCCGTCCATAAAAAATTATCATCCATCTCCTTGTTTCTTTTTATGCTTAAATAATTTTTATAAGCCCATAAACGAACAAAATATGCAACAGGATAAGTTCATCGTACCTAAATTGAGCAATTTGTTTCATGTAAGACAGGAAGAACCCGAGAAATTGCAGAGATATTTTTATCAGTTTAATAGGGTCCCAAAGTCGTAGACACGTCCCATCATTATATTTCTGCTTCCCACGTTCCCACTAGCAGAGAGCTGCACAAAAATTGCACCCTCTCCTTTATTCCATTTCAAATGTAAAAAAATATATATATATATATATATACATGGTTACAACAATAATATATAGGCCTGTGCATAATTCTTAATACGTATACATAGTTCTTCACATGTACCCTCCATATTGTATGTATATCCACATAGTACATTCTCGTTCAAACGTTTTCTCCACTTCTATTCTTGTCAGAGATTACATATACGAGTTAGGAATGGACAACAAGCAGGGAATTCCGTCATCCCCACTTGTTACGATATTGCATATTTCGAATTCATTTGTACATACTTTTTTTTCATTATATATAAAAATACATTCTATGCAATTAATACCCCCCTTTTTACATGCCCCAAAGGCCCATAATATGTCATTAGGAGATTTTTCATGTTCAGCTGGAATTATATCTGTTTTGATATATCCCTCTTTGGGGAACTCTATTGAGACCAAGGTGTCATTCCTAGTATGTTTATTACTTTTTTTTTTTTTTTCAATCAAGGGATTTAGATGATAAACTACATCTCCAATTGTATTCAAATTTTTTTTTTGTTTTAATGTTAACGAATTTTCTGAACAGTCAGAAAAATTTAATAAAAATAAATTTCCAAAAGCTGTACCAACCAAGAGAAAGTGGTTTCCGATGTATCTCGCAGAAAGAATGGGTTCATTAACGGATATTTTTTTTAAAAAATTATTCAAATTTGATGAACAAATAGAATGAATTTCGAATTGGAAGCAATTCCCATCAGCCGAACAAGTGATAATGTAACTTCTGTTGTTCACATTATACGTTATGATAGAATTTATACTAGCAGTATGTATTTTTTTGCAGCTAATGTATTTATGAAAAATTCTAAAATCTCTTATTTTGACAATTCCATCACTTTGTCCACCTGTTATTATTAAGGGAGTTTTTTCATTATTCAAATTCAAGTGATCATCTTTTTTTTCAAATAAATTCGTTGATTTTGTAAAATGAGCAGCACATTTTTTGGATAAGTTCTTGCCACTACATCTGCTGCTACTACTGCTGCTCCTCTTATCTCGCTCCTTTTTCTTTAAATTGTCTTCATTGGTAAAATCACCGAATGATGATTCTGAACAATGTACATCTTTCCCATCTTCCACACGCTTGTCCATAAAATTGGAATAACCATTTTTGTATAAATAAAAGTAATTTAAAGCACCTATATTACCACAATGTGTGTTTTTCGCATGGAGCACTTCCTGAGAATTTCCTACATCAAATACAGATACGGCTCCATTTTTGTCAGCTGATATAATTTTATCTTGTAACCATAAAAATTTCGTTATAGGGTGTAAATGACTACCTTTGTAAATAGCTAGCTCCTGAAATTTCTTTATGTCAAAAAGTTTTAATGTTTTATCATAACTACTTGTAATGCACTTTTCATTTTTTTTATCAAATTTCATGTCACTAATGGTGGAATGATGTGCATACATTTCTTTGCATGTAGTTACGTTACTAGAGGCTTTAAATGTTACTTCTCTAACTGTTTTTGCCTTTTCTAAATATTCTGAACAATTCATAATTTTATTTATTCTTGATGCCTTGCATGAATATGTGGTATTCCACAGACATATCTTTCCATCTAGCCCCCCCGAAAGAACTTCATTTCTTTTCGTAAAAAAAACATTATTCACCCAATCATAATGTCCACATTTTTTATGGTACAGTTCCTTTATAGTAGATAAATTTTTCAGGTTGTGTATACGCAGAGAATGATCCGCGCTTCCAGTGACCATGTAGGTACCTACAAAAAAGGAGGGGAGAAAGTGGAAATTAAACAAACAAGGGGGAGTTAGGTGAATCGTGGAAATAATATAGAGAGGATATACAAAATGCCTCGATATTCTTCTGAACAAAGTAACTTGTTATAGGCCCCTTCTGATACTTCTCCATTACATTGTTACACGACTCGGATAACCCTAGACACCTACCACTTTCATCCAGGGAAAGAGACAATATTGACCTGTCATGTGCATACTCATAGAAGAAGGAAAAGTTTGGTCCATTCTTTAAATTTTTATTTCTTAAAAAAGCC